TTGTAGGATAAAGAGGACATGCTTTAGGATTTTACCAGTTGATATGTTTTCACAGAAGGATTTTGAGGCGATATATTGGGATTAGGATTTGTATGCTGAAGGTAGCCAGCGGATCTAGTTAAACGTTCGAAAATATTGTCACGGGGTCGTGACGTGGCCGAAGACAGGAGACTTCTTGTTGGAATTTAACTGTTTATTTGGGCGAACCCTTGCCCGGTAACCAGAAAGTCCAATTACAGCAGCAATCTCGCACAGATAGCAGTCTCAGACTGATAGCGGCGAACGGAGCGTCGGCCTTCGATCAACAACTGACAAGCGGCGAAGCGCGTCGGCATTTATATTCCCGCCGTCGAATGTTCTAGCGCTATCGCTGGTGGCGGCGTGCGTTCCAGAACAATCTGTACCATTCGCACAGTGGGCGTGATCTTATCGAAATGATCTACTATAGTCCGGAGCCCTCTAGAAAACTGCAGGCGCGGTTTGCGCTGAGAATCGTGTGGTGTTTTGGGACGATAACAAAAACTTGGAAAATGGAACGTGGCATTGCCCCCCTCTGAAAAAGGCATCGTCTCGATGCTTTAGCTAAAGATGAAGGTACAATAATAATGCAAGAAAGTACAATGAATAAATTACGATACAACAATAATACAAAAAAACACTGTTTCAGTTTGTTAACGCGCATGAAACGGCTTGAGGCGTGCAACATGGACGACGTCAGGTCGCGATCGGCGTCGTTGAGAGTTCGTGATGCCGTCGGGGACAACCTCGTAATCAAGTGGGCCGAGACGTCGAACAACCCTGTACGGTCCGAAGTACCGTCGCAGAAGCATTTCACTTAGTCCACGTCGGCGTTGCGGCGTCCACACCCAAACACGTTCACCGGGCTGGTATTCCACGAAGCGTCGTCGAAGGTTGTAACGGTGGCTGTCGGTTGTCTGTTGATTCTTGATACGGAGCCGCGCAAGTTGTCGGGCTTCTTCGGCGCGATGAAGGTACTCGCTCACATCGAGGTTTTCTTCGTCGGTGACGTTGGGTAACATGGCATCGAGCGTCGTTGTCGGGCTCCTTCCGTAGACCGATTTGTATGGAGATATCTGCGTCGTCTCCTGCACCGCCGTGTTGTATGCGAAGGTCACATACGGAAGAATGGCATCCCACGTCTTGTGTTCGACATCGACGTACATTGACAGCATGTCGGCGATCGTCTTGTTAAGCCGCTCGATGAGGCCGTTGGTCTGTGGGTGGTACGCTGTCGTCCGGCGGTGGTTTGTTTGGCTGTATGCCAAGATCGCTTGAGTTAAGTCGGCAGTGAATGCCGTTCCTCTGTCGGTGATAAGGACTTCCGGGGCGCCGTGACGTAGGACGATATTTTCGACGAAGAACTTAGCTACCTCGGATGCACTACCTTTTGGCAGGGTTTTTGTCTCGGCGTAGCGGGTGAGGTAGTCGGTGGCTACCACGATCCACTTGTTTCCGAAAGCCGACGTCGGGAACGGCCCCAATAGGTCCATACCAATCTGCTGGAAAGGTCGGCAAGGTGGATCAATTGGCTGCAGATGTCCCGCTGGCCTTGTCGGCGGTGTCTTGCGTCGCTGACAGTCCCGGCATGTCCTCACATGACGAGTGACGTCAGTTGTAAGACGCGGCCAGTAGTACCTTTCTTGTATCCTCGCGAGTGTGCGAGAAACACCGAGGTGCCCTGCCGTCGGATCGTCGTGCAGGGCCTGCAGGAGTTCTGGTCGCAGAGCTGAAGGCACCACAAGGAGATAATTAGCCCGAAGCGGTGAAAAGTTTTTCTTTTGTAGAAGACCGTTTCGTAGAAAAAACGACGCAAGTGCGCGCTTGAATACCTTCGGGACTTCGGCGGTCCTGCCTTCGAGGTATTCTATTAGGGCCTTAAGTTCCGGGTCGGCCTGCTGTCGTTCAGCGAAGTCGTCGGTAGTTATCGTTCCCAAGAAGTAGTCGTCATCCGGGTCGTCGGGTAGCGGTTGGTCGACAGGCGTACGAGAGAGACAGTCGGCGTCGGAGTGTTTTTTGCCGGACTTGTAAATGACAGTAATGTCATATTCTTGAAGTCTCAGGCTCCATCGTGCGAGGCGACCTGAAGGGTCCTTCAAAGTGGCTAGGCAACACAAAGCGTGGTAGTCGCTCACAACTTTGAAGAGCCTGCCGTAGAGGTATGGGCGAAATTTCGACGTAGCCCAGATGATGGCGAGGCACTCCTTTTCTGTTGTGGAATAATTTTCTTCTGCTTTGGATAGCGATCGGCTGGCGTAACTAATAACCCTTTCAAGTCCGTCAGCCATATGCACAAGAACGGCGCCAAGACCTACGCTGCTTGCGTCAGTATGTATTTCTGTCTCGGCGAATTCGTCGAAATGGGCAAGTAACGGAGGCGTCTGGAGGCGATGTTTAAGCTCCTGGAAAGCGTGTTCCTGTGGCGTTTCCCACTTGAACTCCACGTCGGCCTTGGTAAGGTTAGTGAGAGGATCGGCGATGCGGGCGAAGTTTTTCACGAACCGCCTATAATAGGCGCAGGGGCCCAGAAATCGGCGCACGGCTTTCTTGTCAGTGGGCGGCGGGAATTCGGCGATGGCGGCTGTTTTCCGTGGGTCAGGACGAACTCCTGACTTGCTGATAACGTGCTCCAGAAACAAGAGCTCTTCATACGCAAATCTGCACTTTTCTGGCTTCAGTGTGAGTCCGGAAGTCTTGATGGCTTGAAGTACAGCTTCAAGGCGCCGAAGATGCTCGTCGAAACTCGAGAAAAACACGACGACGTCGTCCAAGTACACAAAGCAAGTCTGCCACTTCAATCCTGCCAGTACTGTATCCATAATGCGTTGAAAAGTTGCAGGCGCTGAGCAAAGGCCGAAGGGCATCACCTTAAACTCGAAGAGGCCGTCCGGTGTTATAAACGCCGTCTTCTCTCGGTCTCTTTCGTCGACTTCGATTTGCCAATAGCCAGTCTTGAGGTCCATTGACGAAAAGTACTCGGCGTTATGGAGCCGATCAAGTGCATCGTCTATTCGTGGGAGAGGATACACGTCCTTTCTTGTGATTTTGTTCAGGCGGCGATAATCGACGCAGAAACGTAGGGTCCCATCCTTTTTCTTCACTAACACCACGGGATTTGCCCATGGGCTCTTGGACGGCTGGAGAGGTACTGGGATCGTTACCCAGCACCTCCACCAAATGTCACGGGGTCGTGACGTGGCCGAAGACAGGAGACTTCTTGTTGGAATTGAACTGTTTATTTGGGCGAACCTATGCCCGGTAAACAGAAAGTCCAATTACAGCAGCAGTCTCGCACAGATAGCAGTCTCAGACTGATAGCGGCGAACGCAGCGTCGGCCTTCGATCAACAACTGACAAGCGGCGAAGCGCGTCGGCATTTATATTCCCGCCGTCGAATGTTCTAGCGCTATCGCTGGCGGCGGCGTGCGTTCTAGAACAATCTGTACCATTCGCACAGTGGGCGTGATCTTATCGAAATGATCTACTACAGTCCGGAGCCCTCTAGAAAACTGCAGGCGTGGTTTGCGCTGAGAATCGTGTGGTGTTTTGGGACGATAACAAAAACTTGGGAAATGGAACGTGGCAATATTTTCGCTCTAGTAAAATATTAGGCCACATGCTCCAAGCGACGTGTCTTCATCAGCTGAATCTTGATTGCCTGACGTTCAATGTAAAAAGAGCTAAGAAACTTCAGTTGGAAGTTTTCTGTTCTGCCAAGACACATTAACCAGCCACGCATACTGTGATTATTGTATCAGGTAGGTGCAATTGGCAGCTCGCAGTTTCCATGCACTTATCTCCCAAACATATTTTTGAGAATTCAAGACTGAATTCTGGTTCAAACTTCCGAAGCTGTTAAGACAAGAAACGAGACTTTCGGGAATGCATATCCCTAAGTACTGATAGGTCAGACCTATACTACTAATTTTCCTAAAACGAGCTGGTGGAATGTGTAAAATATTGCCTTCTAGAAAATGATAAAATAAAATTTGGAAGAGTGTGTGGTGTTTTAAAAGGATATTTTCCCGAAGCGTTGTCTTTGCATTGCAGGTCCGCAGTAGTTGAATGGGACAACAAATGCTTTCTGCAGCACAGTGAGTTTTGTATTTGTTTCAAGGTCGCAGCGATTCTAAACACTTTTCTTAGTTTTGTAGACAAGGCTGAAAAGCAGAAGTTGAAAGATTTGGCTAGTCTAATGTGTAGATATGTGGATGGAAATTTATTTAAAAAATAAGTGAAGGTTTTGCACAAATTGCTTGTTGTGTCCTGGAAGTGTTCCAAGAATGTGGTAGAGTTCGTAATGAAGTTCCACAAAGAAACAAACTGCCATTCCTGGACCTGTTTTCAGAGTTGGAACTCTATTAGGTATGTGGGCTGTATAAGTCGAGGACCGCGAAGCCTTTGCACGAAGTTGATACTCCATCCCGCCATATACCTTGAGATTAACGATTCGGTGCCGTAACCACTAGACCACTGCGGCGGGACAGCAGCTAAAAGGTTCCAGATACCTCCGTCTCTCTGTTTTTTTTTACACATTGTTTGCGTATTAGGTGGTTACAATTACCTGTGTTTCATTTTTCAGCTGAAAAAACATTTTGTGCATCTTCATTCGGCGGCTTTCAGGAAAAGTTCACCACCCTTTTTTTTCACCGTGGTTCAATTGACATCGTTAACTGTAAATAAACTAGCACAAGAAACGCCACAGTATAGCTTCCAACAAACTTCATTTACCGGGTTCATTTTCTGAACCATTCACGCGACTTCGTACTTGTTTTTCACATTGCATTTCGTTAGCTGGTATGCAGCATGCAATAAGGCGGAAAAGAAAACGGTTCCTGTTCTACATGGTAATCAGATGAGAAGCTACTGAAACTGGCTGGACGTGCAGTCGAGCTAATCTCTGGAAACGCCGTGCCGCTAATCTCTGGGTGACCGTTTCTAGCGGTGTCGTGTATCCACCGTGGCCTTCGGATAAGACGCAGTTGGTGTCACCCATGGTTCTGCCTTACACATTGCGTAGTAAAGGATTACTTTAGGCACAACCTGTGACCTTACTGGAGCAGAGACGACTTTAGGAGTATGCCACAGGGTGTTTTGCGGTGGTGTGTCAACTCTCTTTACACGGATACGTGAACGGTGCGCGGTGATATAGAGCCAGGATACATGGCCTACTTCCAGAGGCTGAAGATCCATGTGTCCGTGGCCATCGTGCTTGTGCTTGTCTCTGCAGCGACGGAAGTTGAAGCCACAGAATTTCAGGGTCTGAAAGACCTGAAAACACAGGTGAGCGACTTAGCGAAAAGGTGGCATGAGTGTAGCGTATCGCTAACTGGTATGGCCGAGGTTCCCGGTGAGCTAAAGGATTTGAAAGCGCAAGTGGAAGCAATGAAAAATAAGAGATACAATACAGCGTCCAACTTAATACCCCCTGTGCCGGGTCTGAGCATTGATGCAGCGTTCAAGAAGGTTCTAGAGATCGATAAAAGACTTAGTGCAATGGAGGTAGAAAACAAAAGTTTACGCGAAGCTATGGAACAGATGAAACGAGACATGCATTCAGAGCGGCTTGAAAGGAAGAGCAGCGTGCAGGCTGTACGAGCTGAAGCAAGGAGTGTTGCGGAACTGCTGGTGCCGGAAGTGAAACAAACGTTAGTGGAGCTTCCATCGATGGTAGCGAAAATGAAACGTTTTTTCAGAACTGGCAGAGACGTAATGCAGTTTTTGTCACCAACAAGATCTCCAAATGATACGGCCGATCAAGACAAGTTGAACACCGTTCAGATGGAGAGAAATTCAGTAGCTGTGCTAGAGGAAGAAACCAGCGAACCCACCAATGAACTAGACGCCGAGGTTAACGCTGCGGCCTATAATCAACGCGGTAACGTGCCACACCACAGCTCTCTACAGAAGTTTGAAATTGGGAGTGGTATTCAAGAAAAGATCTATAATAGTACTATTCCGACACTTGTCACTCATTTTGCTGAAAATGACTCCTATACACAGCCAAACTTTACTGAAACAGCATTACACAGCGAAGCATTGAAAAACGCAAGATATGGCAATGTCAGTGAAATTGAGTTTGTTGGACAAGAAAGAAATTTTTCTATTTCCATCACAGACGGCAAAGTAACCAGCTGCATGGAATACGGTTCGAACAGTTACAACATATCAAATTCTAGCACGGAGCCTTGTGATGGTTTCAGAGTCGAAATGGATTTTGGAGGGCACGGAACAGGAGAGCGAATGGTGCCTATATCTGATGACTTCACTAAACACAGGTGGTCTATTGAAAACGCCATCGTGTTCATGGCCATAGAACTGCAAAGGTTAAGGAAAAGAGTTGCCGAGGAGGCGTTAAACGACAGAGATGAACGGCTTGAGGAGATTGCCGAAAACATGATGAGAAAGATGAATGAAATGAAATATTCTATCGAAGGCGAAATGGAACAAGGCCTTGTGAACATCAGCGTTAAGATTGAAGAAATTATAGGGGTTTTAACACAATATAATTTGACTCACCTTGAAGGCACAACTCAAGAAATAGCAAGGAACACTAGTTCACTTTGGGAGAGTATACACAATGCACATAATAAAATGCAGCATGTGCAGCACCAATTTTCAGAAGCTATAGAAAGTAGCAATGTTGGCAACAACGCCTCTTTTCATTTGATGAAAGAAAACCTCGCATTATCTGTGAGCCAACTTGAAGCGCTGAATAAGTCACTGCAGAGATTTGTTGCAGAAAGGGAAACGGTACTCAAGGGCAAACTGGAAGTGTTGAATTCTGCAATAGAACTTAATATGAGGCAGCTTACCGAAACTGTACAAGAGTGTTGCTCGGCAGTTGAGGGGCTTAATGGGACCACTCAGGGAGTCCAGGCTTCTTCTCTATATGAGTTAAGCAAAAATAATAACAGCAGCATCGCTTCCACGGAAATCAAACTGCAAGCACGGATGGATGATCTGGATCACAGGTTGCTCAGTGAAATCGAGCACCTAAAGGAAATGATGAAGATGAAGTCACCTGCTCAACTGCCAATCTTCAGTGGATGGCACCCAGGTATTGACTTGCCATGCTAAAAGTCTTATTTAAAGAAAGTGCAACGTTTTACGAATGATTATTCAACTATAATATGATTGTTTTGGATGATACTCATTCTTCATAACATGTTTAAAGTACGCATCACAAGATGTGTTTAAATAAAAAGAATTAGTTCAATCCCCGCTTTCGCTACACATTGTACATGCGACATCTTTTCCCCACATTTTTTTTAAACTAAAAGCACATGTAAGCAATGTCAGATCTACGAGTTGAACCTGTCAAAATGTCGACCTTGTCGGCTACATTCTGATAACTGGTTGCGCAGTAATACCACATTAACTGCTGTGAAATATGTTCATTGCGCGTGATTGCGATGGGACACAAGAAAGAAGAGAGTTGAATGTTCGTCACCCGAATCCTGTCAATCTTCATTTACGACGTTTCTTTCTAGACACCTTTCTTTATCAGTGAGTGTTTCAAGCGAGCAGAAACTTGAAAAAAAAGGCAGATCCCACGTACAGTGGGAATCGATGATATGGAAAGCATGACTGGGGAAGGTCGATATGTCACTCTAAAATCAGCACTATATTACTAGGTGGAGGTCAATGAGGCCGTAATGGCTTACTTGTCATGATTATCATGTTTGAATGTATCGTTCACTTTCGTCATCTATTCACATCACGTGATATCAAACTATGTGGAGCTAGCGAAACAGCCGCGAGCATGCTACAAGCGTGCTTTGTTGTCATTGTCTAAAATGACATGCTTGTCAGCATTATCATGATTGCACCAGTCGTATACTTTCGTCATTCATTGACGTCACGTAATGCCAAGTTTGTTACATGTGGACATATCAAAATGGCCGGGAGCGCATCATAAAGGGCCCAATATACTCTAATGTAGCGTTGACGCACGCACACGCTGTGCACAGCGACACTACGTTAGCAAAACGCGAGATTCTATAGTCTGACTCCAGGCGCAACCGGCACGGCCAACGTCAATCGGCGCGGTCCGAAGGCAACCGGTGCGAAATGCGACGTGCTCAATTCGCGCCGATGCCTTACCTAGACCAACGCCTCCTCTAGAAATATGCCTGAGCAATGGCTCGGGCTCCCAGCAGAGTTGGCCTGCGTTCAGTTTTAAACAAGCTCCGCGCGGTGGCGCTCGCGATTGACACTATTATCACGGCGACGGGCGGTACCAGCTAAGCGTTTGTCATCTGCGGCACAAAGCGGCGCGTCAATCGAGAGTTGTTCGAGACCTGCAACTGTGCACCACTATTTCGGAGGCTATGAAAAGTGTTGCGTTGTTGCACCGTCCGCCACAGGTGACGCTAGTGACTGAGAACATTTTCGAAATGAAGGAGGGAAAGAGTGTGGCAGCTGATTTTTTTCTCATGCGGCAGGCATCTTCCTAGAGGAGGCGTTGCCCAGACACGCTGCGTTCCATAACAGCATCTCCCTCTTTTCGTGATGAAGGAACGCTGGACGCGCTGAAACGCGCATGCGTCAAAGCAACACAGCGCGGCGCGCGCCTGCGAGTATATGGCTAGAGCGGCGCCTTACGTGGCAACACTTGCGTGACGTGACGAAATGAGTGCCAATAAGCACGCGCACCGCATCACGTCAAAGTGTATTAGAGCCTTGACTGTGGTATGTGGTCATGTTCGCACATGACACAAATCTCATGATTATCATGTTTGCATCAGTCACATACCTTCATCACCCATTCACGTCACGTAATGCAAAATTTGGCATATGTAAAGCTAGCGGAATGGCCGCGAGCACATCGTGAGTGTGGCATGTAGTCATGGTGGTACATGACACACATGTCATGATTATCATGTTTGGATGTGTCATTTACCTGTGTCGTTCATTCGCGTCGCGCACTACCGAGTTCGTTACATGTGAAGCTAGCGAAATGGCTGCGAGCGCATCATGAGCGTAGCACGTAGTCATGTTGTTACATGACACACATCTCATGTTTATCATGTTTGCACCAGTATCACACTTTCGTCATCCATTCACGTCTCGTACTACCAAATTCGGTATAAGTGAAGCTAGCGACACGGCTGCCAGCGCATCATGATGATGGCATGTAGTCATGTCACACGACACGCACCTCAAGATTATTATGTTTCAACCCCTTACATACGTTCATCACCCATGCATATACCGTAATGCCAAATTTGGTATATGTGACGCTAGCGACACAGCCGTGAGCGCGTAATGAGCGTGGTATGTAGTCATGTTGTTACATGACATGCATGTCATATTTTCACGTTAGGGTCAATTTCTTGTGTTCAGCATGCAATCATGTCATGCCATACAAGTTTTGCACCATGCCATGTGAACGAAACCACCGCAAGTGCTACTGTACCATTAAATGTAAATCGTGACATTCATGACATACATGTCATGATTTCCATGTTATGACTAGTCAAATATGTTCTTCATACAGTGATGGTATGCCATACCAAGTTTGGTATTGATACCATTATCGAAACGGCCAGGATAGCTGAAAGTCGAATGGCTAGATAGATAGATAGATAGATAGATAGATAGATAGATAGATAGATAGATAGATAGATAGATAGATAGATAGATAGATAGATAGATAGATAGATAGATAGATAGATAGATAGATAGATAGATAGATAGATAGATAGATAGATAGATAGATAGATAGATAGATAGATAGATAGATAGATAGATACGCTCAAAGTCGCTCGAGTTCGCTAAAAAATGCTTCGCATTTCTTGATTGATTCCATGTGAGACTGATGCCGAGCCGTCTTAGAACGTGCGTGTTTCGAAGTTACAGGAATCAATTAAATCTCAGACAACGCCCACCCTATTGGCTGTAGTAGCCAAAATAGCGCTCGCATCCCTCCTGTGTTCTCTAAGATGATCACACAGGCGCCTACCAGTTAGCCTGCATAACATTTACCCGACGATCTTGTAGACAGCGAAAATACTCGAGACCAGTGTACTTAATTTAGGTGCACCTTAGAAAACAACACGGTGGTCGAAATTTCAGGAGCCTTCCAGTACGGCGTCTCTTCTAATTATACAATGGTTTAGAAACAGCCAATTGTTCCTCTAAATTATTTTTATTATTATCATTATTATTGTGGGCAACAAAAACACTGCATCTTCTCGGGGTTCAGGTGATATGCTTTTAAAGACGATAGTCTTTCTTGGGGACCTTCGACGCAAAAATTTTGGTCTGTCTTTCTGTACACTTGTCTGTTTGTCCACTCTTACCGGCATCGGGTACTTGAAACGGCCTACCCCATTCCCAGTGACCACCGATCACTGTTGCTTTAAGTTGAGCGTTCATGCTAGTGCAATTGTCAATTAAAAAGCAAATATTGTGCATGTCTGGGGCACCGTAATTACCCGCATATTTTCTGCATATACATATCTTACAAGAAAACGCATACATAAGTAATTTTAAGGACCGTAGCGCTTATCACGCTGCGCTTACCATGCAACGCTTGCATGGAACGGAAGTGTTTTCAACGGCCCCGCCACGGTGGTCTAGTGGCTAAGGTACTCAGCTGCTGACCCCCAGATCGCAGGATCGAATCCCAGCTGTGGCGGCTGCATTTCCGTTGGAGGCGGAAATGTTGTAGGCTCGTGTGCTCAGATTTGGGTGCACGTTAAAAAACACCAGGTAATCGAAATTTCCGGAGCCCTCCCCTACGGCGTCTCTCATAATCATATGGTGGTTTTGGGACGTTAAACCCCACATATCCATCAAAATCAACTGTTTCCAATGCTTTGCTAAGACGAGATGGTGGTGGCACCTACCTATCGCCTCGCGTTCTACAGCTTATCATCTCTGAGATGGGCACGCACGGCCACGCGCTTTGTTTTCTAAAATAAACTGCCAGATGACGCTCATGACTCACGTGTGTCATGACTTGATGCGCTCGTGAGCCTCTGTTGCACGCTCGAGGCACTTTAACAGAGCGCCTCCGGAATACCCTTGATCAATTGTCTTACGCAGAACATCAAATAAATGTTTTCTTCACTCCCTCCACACGCAAGACTCTCGTCTTTGGACGACAGCTGCAGATTACATGCAGATACGGGGCCAATTTTTTTATTGTTGGTGTCTTTCTCCTCCGCTCTATATCACACGTACTTTTTAAAAGCTCGTATGGTAGTAAAAAACAACATAATTCAAAATTTGAAGCTGTCTCCTATGGGCGGATAAAGACACCATGAATGAACGGCGCCGCCAAAGAGCGCTTGCTCGGACGCCTTGTTTTTCGATGACGTATGTACCCTGTTCGACCTCTATAAAAGGCTGGGAAAAGTGAGTAGTCCACAATTATTGTTGCTTGGTTTTCATCATCTGCTTCGAGTTGTCAGTGAATTCACCCTCGCACTCGCAATGGCTAGCTTTCCGCTAAGCTTCATTGTTAAAGTGACCACACCGAAAGGGAGTCTGTCCTGGGTTCGAACACTGAACCTGGACGAATTGAGCGGCCATCATAATCTTTTGTTGCTCAGGAATTCGTTCAATTTTTCTGTGGCTCTATTACACAAACACGTGATTTTCTATTATTTCTTTACATCTCATATAGGTAATAAATAAAACTTCTGAAGATTTATGCGGCGAAACCGTAATACGACTTTGAAACACGCCACGGTGTGGAATCTTTATAAACTTCGACAACTATGACCAGAATTTGGAGAGATTCACACGTAGCGCCATCTATAGTCGGTCACAGCGGCCTTCCGTAACTGAAGGGAGAGAGGTGAAGAAATTACATTTTATAAAAAAAAGCTAGTTATCAAAATGATTTCAGGTGAAAATCACAGTGTCACACTACAAACCGCGTGGCTCCTCAAAGTTGTATTTTACAATGGGTTCTTACGTACTTCAAATAGGTGGTGTTCGACTATCCTGGGAAGCCAGATGGTTTGAACTGAAATACTGAAGTGTCCCAATTGTTTTTCTAGTAGATTTCTGCTGTGCAGACCCCGGAGTCATTTAAGCTAACTC